GTTTTCAACTATAATCTCTTCAAATATTTTCTCAGTTCCTTTCTTTTTCTCTTCTTCTTCTGGAACCCCTATAACTTGAATGTTGGTGCATTTCATGTTGTCCCAGAGGTCTCTGAGACTGTCCTCAGTTCTTTTCATTCCTTTTTCTTTAGTCTGCTCTGCAGTAGTTATTTCCACTATTTTATCTTCCAGGTCACTTATTTGTTCTTCTGCCTTTGTTATTGTGCTATTGATCCCATCTAGAGTATTTTTAATTTCATTTATTGTGTTGTTCATCATTGTTTGTTTCATCTTTAGTTCTTCTAGGTCCTTGTTAAATGTTTCTTGCATTTTCTTTATTCTATTTCCAAGATTTTGGATCATCTCTACTATCATTACTCTGAATTCTTTTTCAGGTAGACTGCCTATATCCTCTTCATTTGTTAGGTCTGGTGGGTTTTTATCTTGCTCCTTCATCTGCTGTGTGTTTTTCTGTCTTCTCATTTTGCTTATCTTACTGTGTTTGGGGTCTCCTTTTTGCAGACTGCAGCTTTGTAGTTCCCGTTGTTTTTGGTGTCTGTCTCCAGTGGCTAAGGTTGGTTCCATGGGTTGTGTAGTCTTCCTGGTATAGGGGACTAGTGCCTGTGTTCTGGTGGATGAGGCTGGATCTTGTCTTTCCGGTGGGCAGGTCCATGTCTGGTGGTGTGTTTTGGGGTGTCTGTAGACTTATTATGATTTTGGGCAGCCTCTCTGCTAATGGGTGGGGTTGTGTTCCTGTCTTGCTAGTTGTTTGGCATAGGATGTACTGCACTGTAGCTTGCTGGTCGTTGAGTGAAGCTGGGTGCTGGTGTTGAGACAGAGATCTCTGGGAGATTTTCACCGTTTGATATTATGTGGAGCTGGGAGGTCTCTTGTGGACCAGTGTCCTGAAGTTTGCTCTCCCACCTCAGAGGCACAGCACTGATTCCTGGCTGCAGCACCAAGAGCCTTTCATGCACACAGCTCAGAGTAAAAGGGAGAAAAAGTAGAAAGAAATAAAGAGGATAAAAGAAAAGAAAGTAAGGTAAAATAAAATAAAGTTATTAAAATAAAAAAATAATTATTAAGAAAAATATTTTTTTAAATGTAAACAAAAAAAAAAAGAAGAAGAAGAAACGGACGGGTAGAACCCTAGGACAAGTGCTGAAAGCCAAGTTATACAGACAAAATCTCACACAGAAGCATACACATACACACTCAGAAAAAGAGGAGAAGCGGAGAAAATAATAAATCTTGCTCTCAAAGTCCACCTCCAAATTTGGGATGATTCGTTGTCTATTCAGGTATTCCACAGATGCAGGGTACATCAAGTTGATTGTGGAGATTTAATCCGCTGCTCCTGAGGCTGCTGGGAGAGATTTCCCTTTCTCTTCTTTATTCGCACAGCTCCCGGAGTTCAGCTTTGGATTTGGCCCCGCCTCTGCGTGTAGGTCTCCGGAGGGCATCTGTTCTTCGCTCAGACAGGACGGGGTTAAAGGAGCCACTGATTCGGGGGCTCTGGCTCACTCAAGCTGGGGGGAGGGAGGGAGACGGAGTGCGGGGCGAGCCTGTGGCGGCAGAGGCCAGTGTGACGTTGCACCAGCCTGAGGCGCGCCGTGCGTTCCACCGGGGAAGTTGTCCCTGGATCCTGGGACCCTGGCAGTGCCGGGCTGCACAGGCTTCCCGGAAGGGAGGTGTGGAGAGTGACCTGTGCTCGCACACAGGCTTCTTGGTGGCGGCAGCAGCAGCCTTAGCGTCTCATGCTCATCTCTGGGATCCGCACTGTTAGTCGCGGCTCGCGCCCGTCTCTGGAGCTCCTTTAAGCAGCGCTCTTAATCCCCTCTCCTCGCGCACCAGGAAACAAAGAGGGAAGAAAAAGTCTCTTGCCTCTTCGTCAGATCCAGACTTTCTCCCGGACTCCCTCCCGGCTAGCCGTGGTGCACTAACTCCCTGCAGGCTGTGTTCATGTTGCCAACCCCAGTCCTCTCCCTGCGCTCCGACCGAAGCCCGAGCCTCAGCTCCCGGCCCCGCCCGCCCCAGCGGGTGAGCAGACAAGCCTCTCGGGCTGGTGAGTGCTCGTTGGCAACGATCCTCTGTGCGGGAATCTCTCTACTTTGCCCTCCGCACCCCTGTGGCCGCGCTCTCCTCCGCGGCTCTGAAGCTCCCCCGCCTCCGCCACCCGCAGTCTCCGCCCGCGAAGGGGCTTCTAGTGTGTGGAAACCTTTCCTCCTTCACGACTCCCTCCCACTGGTGCAGGTCCCATCCCTATTCTTTTGTCTCCGTTTATTCTTTTTTCTTTCGCCCTACCCAGGTACGTAGGGAGTTCCTTGCCTTTTGGGAGGTCTGAGGTCTTCTGCCAGCGTTCAGTAGGTGTTCTGTAGGAGTTGTTCCACCTGTAGATGTATTTCTGATGTATCTGTGGGGAGGAAGGTGATGTCTGCGTCTTACTCTTCTGCCCAAGATTTTTTTTTTTTAATCTGGACCTTTTTTTTTTTGAAGTCCTTATTGAATTTGTTACAATATTGCTTCTGTTTTATATTTTGGTTTTTTTGGCCGCAAGGCATGTGGGATCTTATCTCCCCGATCAGGGATTGAACCTGCACCCCCTGCACTGGAAGGCAAAATCTTAATCACTAGACCATCAGGGAAGTCCCTAGACCTCAACTCTTCATCAGTGATCTCATCCAGTATCCCGGATCTTGCAGAATAATATCCACATTGTGACCACCCCCCTGGAATGGACATCCCCAAATGGATATTTCACAGGCATGTCAGACCTACTGCGTCCAAATCAAAATCCTGGTCTTCCTTCTCTGTTCCACCTCCCACCCCAATTCTGTCTTCCCACCACAGCCTTTTTCAGGTCAGAAAAACAGCAATGCCGTTCTTGCAGTTGCCAAGGCCAACAACATCACAGCCATCCTTGACTCCTCTTCTCTCCCAGGCCACATAGAATCCTTCAACACATCCTGATGATCTGATCATTTCTCACTGCATCAACGGAGCTCAGCCACCATCCTCTCTTGCCCAGATTGCCACTGCACCCTCCTCCCGCCCTTGCCCCCTCTGAAATCAAGTCTGAGTGCAGCAGCCAAGTGACCCTTTGAAAACAAACAGATCAAGTCACTCATTGGCCCTTAACTCTCCAACAACTTCTCATGTTGCTCATAGTAAAAGCCAGTGGCCTTGGCCCTGCTTAATTACCTAGTCTCTTTGGGACCTCATTACCTGCCACGGCTCCCTCCCAACTCACCCTGCTTCATCCATGACTGCTGTTCCTCGAAGGCACAGGTGTCTGCACTTGCTCTGCACCTGCCTGGAACACCCTCCCCCACCTCCCTCAGGTGTGTGTCCATTTGCCCAAACATCACTGTGGTAGCAAGCCCCTCCTTGAGGGCCCTATTTACAATTGCAAGCTCTCCTCACCAGCATTCCCTGTTCCCCTCTCCTGGCTACAGTTTCTCCATCTAACATGGCTTTTTCACATGCTTGCCACCCTCTCCAAAATGAGCACCTTGAGAACAGGGACGGTGTCAGCTTTATTTTTTGCTGCATCGCCAGTGTCCAGCCAGGGCCTAGCACAGGACAGGCACTCCACGAGTGTTTGTCGAATGCACGGAGAGGGTCAAGGCCTGAGTGCGGGGGCCCTGAGGTGGCAGAATGTCAGATGCAGACAGCTGCAGGGGTGCCCAGGGAGGTGGGTGCTGACACACTGACTGGGGAGTGAGTGGATGGACCTCACAGGCCTGGATGAGGAAAGCCTTCAGTAGATGGACTGAAGACATGGGACCCCCTTGTCTCTGGCACCACACGAGCCCGTGGGAGCAAGGCAGTAAGGGAAGACAAGTAAAGTTGGGGTTCTCATCAATTGCGGAAACTGGTGGCTTGGAGTCACATTTTGTTGGATTTAGGAAAGTAAATGCAGTATCTTTTACACTTTGAGTGTTGGGAAGCAATTCATTCCAGAAGTCCCACCATTTAGGGTCCCTATAGGTGAGAAAGGCAGAGGCTCCTACCCAAAAGGCAAGCTATCTAGAGGTCCCACTGGCCCAAGGCATTAGCCCCCGGACTTCAGAGCCAGGGCAGCCACCACCCTCCCACCAGGGCCCACAGTCTTACCAGGAAAGCAGTCCTGGGGTGGGGAGCACATAGGTCTCCCGGGTCGGGTGCTGCTGACGGTGGGACAGTAAGATGAGCAGGAGTTAGGCAGCCGAGGTGAGCCAGGGAGGGAGAGAGGAGGAATCAGGCAGAGGAAACAGCACGTGCAAAGGCTAGGAGATGAGAGCACCTGGGACAAAGAGGGGACAGCAGGAGTGTGGCTGTGAGAGGGCAGGACCTGAGCGTGGGGTCAGGTCTCAGCAGTAAGCCTCAACTAAGGCCACAGGAAGGCGCCAAGCAGAGAAATCTCACCCCAGCTATTGTGTAAGGAATGAATGAGCGGAGGCAACGAGGCTGCATGGAGCCAACTGGCAGTCAGGATGAATCTGAAGAATATTTAGAAAGTAGAATGGGCAGGCCTTGGATACTGATGAGATCACTCCTAGTGAAGAATTGATGGTGGTGAAAGAACACTGGATTGGGGCAGGTACTGGAGGAGGGCCTGGGTCTGGCCATGCAAAGTCCACACAAAGAGGCCTCACAGGCCCATGGGGGTTAGGAATGTGGACTTGGAAACCCCAGGATTATGGTGACTGAAGCCCTGAGAGTAGGCAAGAACACCCAGGAGAGCATTCAGTGGGGAGAAGTGTCTCGAGCAGAATGCTGCCAGCTAAGGGCAGGGCCAGCAGGAGGAGAGATGCCCAGAAAGGCAACTTAGAAGGAGCAGCCAAGGCAAAATGAGGAAAGGTGGAAAGCCAGAGAGCAGGTGAAGGCCAAGGGCAGAGGATGCCTCAGGAGGGAGTGGTCGGCAGCGCCCTGGAAGTGATGCTGGTTCCATACAGACAACCCCCCCCACACATCTCATACCAAGTCAGCACACCCCCCATCAGATACCACAAACGATGCAGAATTTAACAGATGTTTATTTGTGTAGTAGGAAGATTCAGGTATATAAATAAGGTGAATACTTTCCAATGTACAGTATATCATGATCTGACACTTCATTGAAAAAGAATCAGTTCAATACTGATCAGACAGTGCACAGAGAAAGGTCAGCTGGGGCAAAAACACATGGATTTAGTGAAATGCCAGAGGCAGGGCCAGGACAAACTCCGGGCCAATCTTGGCAGCACAGACACTGCAGTGGGCTACATTTGACTACCTGGCACTCCCCAGTGGGGCCAGGGAAGCCATTTCTATGTTTTGGGGAACTTTCTCACTAAACAGGTCTTCAGAGTGAACAGAACTGAGGAAGTGCCTGACTCACCCAACACCACCAGGCTTCCCAACAATCTTCAACAGAGGGGCCGCTTGTCTCTAACACTTTGGTCTTCCCCTCCTGTTTTGGAAAGTATTAAACACCAATAAAACTTAAAACTTGGTATCAGCATCGACTCCAGAAGAGAATTCACAGTGCATGAGCATTGAATCCAGGGAGACCTGGATGGGTTTCTGAGCCCAGTTTCTGTTCCCGCACCCACAAGACACTCAGGGCTGGCCTCCGCCAGCTGCAGGACTCTTGGCCTCTCCTCTGCCTGCACTCCTCCTGCTGCTGCCCCCATGGCTTCTCAACAGTCCGCTGGCCGGACGACAATAAACCAGTGTATCCTGACACTGCCTTTTGTTCTCTTGGCTCCAAGTCCTTTGGTTATGTTGGCCCTGATGTCTGCTCAGCTCTTTCCCTTTGTAATCAGCTCCCAGACACCCAGCCAGTGTGACATAAGGCAGCAACACAGTGCTGTGTGGCAGCCACATGGTGCTGTGTGTATGGAGGATTCAAATGCAACAGAACACAAAGGACATCCTTATAAAAACAGGTAGGTACATTCTCAACCCCCTTTCTAGTCTGGCATTCCCTGGCACAAAGCCAGCAAAACGAGCACATGAAACTAACAAAGGTAAGAAATGGGTGCTCCAGCAGCCAAGGACAGGGACTGCGCTATGGATGACGTCGGCAGAGAATCTCACCTAGGACAGTCACCAGGTGGCTAAACCCAACTAGAGACTCTGAGCACTACATAAGGGTCTCCCGAGACCTGGGAGACCACTGCAGCAGCATCTTCAGCCCAAGGTGCAGAGGGCCCTTGCCCCTGGTTTGGAGCTGTTTTCTCTACAGATAAAAAGCTGCCTGGGTCCATTAGATGCAACAATGAGGGAGGAAGTGCCCGGCCTGGCAAGCATGGGTCCAGAGGAGTGGGAGGCAGGCCTAGGATCAGTCCATCACAGCAGCTGCTCACTAAACCCCCACAACTGTGCTCCTGGCTCCTGTCATAAGCAACTAACTGAAGGGGAGAGACTACCATTTAAACACATGGGCCTTGGGTCTAGTCTTCATTCCCCTCACTCAGGAAACAGCCCACAGTCAAGCCAGTGGTCCTAGGTCATTATTATTCTATTGGCTTGAGAACTTCCGGGATACCCCGTCAACACCATTCCTTCCAAGTGAAGAATGAGCCACCTCAAACACACCCTCCCCAACTCCTCTGTCTGCATTCGGAAAACTAAAAGAAATAGTTTTCATTTTTCATTAATCCGGTGCCTACTCTCCTTTCATTCATGAATCACCGCTGAGATCCTCTGCTAACCTAGAATCCAAGAGAAACACCCTCTATCTATCCCCAAGTGGTCACCTGCATCTACCCTGTTAACACTTTTAAGAAAGCAAGAAACACAAAGCCCCTGACTTGTTATGTGTAAGGACATGAGCGAGAGCTTTAGGCCTTCCCTCTGTACTATCATCTACTACAGAGCAGCTTTCTCTCTCTCCCACTCCTCTTGGGCCCCGCGGTGTCCGCTCACACGGAGGACTGCTGCAGGTCCCTGAGCTGTGTGCACAGAGCACAGTTCTTGGCAGAGGGGGACATGGGGTCCACAGCAATTCACAGATCAGCCCTTACTGCCCAGGAAGTGGAGGCACCACCAGGCAAGAGGAAAGGGCCTCCTTCCCCGTGGCAAGTCCAGACCAGGGGCAGCAGGAGGTGAGCAAAACCTCAGGCAAACCATTCCTACCAGGAATGGAGAATTCTGGAACTTGTCCACATCCTCTTTCCTTTCGTCAGGCTGGCTTTCTAAATGAAGTGGGAAGTACCCAGTCACTGTAGATGGGTAAGGTCTGGACTGATTCTCTCAGAAGGAGAGTGTGGTCACTTTCTAGACTTTGAACACCCAGGCTGTGTGCAGGGAAGGGGCAGTGTAGTGGCTGAGAAACAGTCTCCAGCATCACACAACCCTGGGTTCAAATTACCAGCTGGGTTCAATAAAAACAACTACCATTTATTGAGCTTACTATGTGCCAGGCACTGACAAATATTTACATGCATTACCTCATAAAATCCTCACAACAATCCCGTAAGGGAGCTGCTATTATCAGAGCCAGCTGGGTTGGAATTGTACCTAGTAACCTGCCCAAACCTAGGGCTATTTGAGCCCAAAGTCTATCTTAACCACTGCACTTTGCCTGTCATGGTACCTCATTTTCCTCATGTATAAAATGGAGATAATACCTGATCAAAGGTTGTTTTCTGGATTAAAAGGGATAATGCATCCTTAGCACTGTGCCTGGCACATATTAAGCACTATTATTGCAATTATTATTAATAAACACACTGCTGGTAACTTAATGACTCGAGAATAAAAAGGAGCCTCATCAGACAGGCATTTGGTAGAAGAGGGGAAGGGGGGCAGGGTTTTCAAAGAGCCAATGGATTTGAAAGCCACTGGCCATAAAATCCTAGACTTCAGATATTCTGGCATTCTGTTCTCATAAATCATCTACATGTTCTAAAATCCCAACACTTCAGCACCCAAAGTATACCTCCCAAACCAGCCTCCCAGCTGAGATCTCTTTGTCTTTGAAAACATGCCATACATACGGACAGGTGAAAGCCTTACTCTATCAAGAGGCAGCCCCACGTAAGAACAGCAGCCTCTACCCACCTAAGAGGCCAGGTGAATAAGGTTACTGCCGGTAAACCTGAAAGGGGGGGGTGTGCAGTGATGGGAGGAACAGAAAGACGGGGCCACCTTCAAATGGAAATAGGCAGTCAGCAGCTGGGACTCCATTCCTCACTGAGAACGGGCCCACCTTCTGCAGGGAATGTGGGTGAACAGACTTCAGGACCAAGAGGAGGTAGGCCTAGAAGAGCCCTTAAATTAGCCTCTTTCATCACCACTTGGTCCAAGCCTAGCACCCTATGTAGGTCGTGCCACAAGGGCCCCCACCCAACAAGGGAAAACAAGTTAGGAAGTGGGAGCGGGTAATCTCTTTAAAAAGTGAAAGCTGGGTAACTGCGAGCATGGAAGGTGATCAAGGGAAAAGGAAGTTCGTTTCACCAAGACAAGGACAGAATAACGAGGCTCTGCCCAAGAACCAGACCCTCTCTTCAGGAAGCTGATGGTTTGTTCCAGCCACTCTTTCGGAGCCCCTGCTGACAAGCACAGTGAGAGTCGGCCCATGGTTTGTTGTTTTGCAATGTGTGTGTGACAGTCACCTGGACATCCTTCTGTGGAAGGACAGCACCCTGGGCCTAAGGGAAACTGCTCCCTCCCCACTCCACCCCTTCCTCAGCACATAATCACAACGCACAAGAAAGGTGGGCACAGATGAGAGTTACTCCCAAAGACAAAAGGCGATGGTGCCTAAGATATCAGTGACACAAGAAGAAGTTTCAGAGGTGCCACATCTAGTACAGTAATGCAAATCTACTTCCTTGGAAACTGACCTTGGGCAGGCTTCTTACGGAGCAAGGCCACTGCTGTCCAGTTTTCCAAGCAATGATGCTCTTTGCCCTGAGTCAGTCACACACACCCCTGCCCCTGGCAATGTCAGGGATGCTCCTGAGCCTGCCAGGGGCTCACTGACAGTCTGAAGATGTGAACTTAAGGATCCATTCGAATCAGCCTCCAGCTAACTCGGCAACTAGCTCATTCAAATCAAAGGGCCCGTTTAGTCTCCGTTAAAATATATTTTTGGAATCTTCTTATACAATATAAGTTACAGGATAAAAAGCACAGCGGGGAAAAAATAAATACCATAAAATGATTTCAGAGTCTACCTGTGTAAGGCTACATTTTGCCCCTTCTGAAAGAGACATTAGTTTCAAACATACATTACAGAATTGTACAACACTAGAAGGAGATACATCTTAAATACAGTTAAACTATACCTACTAAAATGCTCAGAATATGAAACAGGCAAGAAGTAATAAACATAAATAAGGCCCAGGCTGCCTTAGAGGGTTTCACTTTCAGAAGCAAAACATAAATGTGTACTTTTTCGATGCTGAGAGCAACTGAGAGGGTGGCACATGCACGCAAAGGGAAAAGGCGTGGGTGTCCTGCGAGCAGTCACGAGAACTCGCCAGGGAGGACGCCCAGGCCCAGCCCCTGCAGATGCTCCCTGGTTTCTTTTTCCATCAGCTCCTTATGTCACCAAGTAGGAGCTAACAGCAACTTAAACTCTAAACATGGCACACAGGTCAGGCCTCCTGAGCTTGCCAGAAGGAATATTGCGCTCTCCCAAAGGTGAGGAGGCCCGGGGATGAGAAGTCCTTGTCCTGCTGGTGAGCACAACCACCACGTGACCCTGGGGAAGTGCCCCCCGGCCCTCGGCTTCCTCATCAGCAAAGGGCTCATGCCTCTGACCTGAGGTACCTCAGAAGGCTGCTGTGAGAATGTATAGGATTCAAATTGGAAAACAAAAAAAAAAATCTCTAAAACAGGACTGCACAATATGTATGAACACAAAATCAAATGGGAAACATAAAACCATGCATGGGAGTTAGAAACTAAATCCACAACAAGGGAGGGCACACAATTTGTCACATTTTATTTCTCACAAAAAAAAAAATGGATCTGAAGCAAGTTATGCCACTCATTAATATCTGCACAGCTGTGTGTTACAAGTCTCTGGAAACTTGTCTATTTGGTGAAAGATTTTCAATAAATGGGAGAAAGAAAAACAATGTGCTATATAGACACAAGGTGGCATCAGTCTCCTGGCTACTGACTATGAAATTCCCCTATTTCACCAGAAAGCAGGAAGGGAATCAAAAGAAAACAAAATCCCAGCTGACCCTCAGGCTTTCTTGATGGCAGCTCTGTTGAGCTTCCAGCTGCCGTTTCCCAGGACCCCCATCAGCAGCCATGTCCACAGGAATGTGCCAGGCTCCCTGATCCCAAAGGAAGACCTATTCAAAGGTGGCTCTCTGCTGCCGAGTCCCAGCTGAGACTCCCTGCACCCAAGGATCCACCATCTGCCCACAGTAGGGCACCACGAGACAAATGTGGCACCATTCCATCTCTGGTTTGGGGAACCAAGTTCATTCTGCAATCAGAAAACTAGATTCGTTACTCATCACCTCCACTTTTTAAGATTTATTGCTGAGGACAAGCATTTTAAGGACAAGTATTTAGAAAAGGCCTGTAAGTACTTGCTTTTTGGGTGCCCAGGACATGACTCAATACCTGCAGCAGCCTCTGGTACATGTACTTGTTCAGCCAGAATCATGGAATATGGGAATTACAAGACACCTCAGAAAATGAGGACCCACAGAGTGATGTGTCTGTCCTACCTAGAGTCACAGCCAGCACTAAAACCCCATGCAAAAACACATTTTGTTTTTAAGGGGGCCTTGGACCTGAAAAAGAAAAGCCATGTAATGAACTGGAAATAAAAGTTCAGAAGAAAGAAGCTGTTGCACGTGGAAGGTCACACAGCGACTGTGAGCTGAGACATCAAGAGGGGTCTGGTCCGTGCTGGACGCTTTAGTGATCTGGGCTGGCTGTGAGCATCCACGGATGCAGTGAGGCTGAGATAAACAGAAATAAAGCAAAGCAGCACCAGCCCAAGGTGCTGAAGCAAGCTGCTACACCCCCATTTGGCAATGAGAACCAATATGGCACAGAATAATGGAACACACTTGGCCACCAAGCTCTCCCCTTGCTTATTGTCCTGACAAAGAATGTATATTCCAAAAGTCAACCTCACTCCTCTACTTAAAAGGAAACAATAAATAAGTCACAGTTGAAAAGAAAAACGGTCCCCCTGTAAAATATAAACTACATTTAAACTGGTCACATTATACAACAAGTGTGCATTTAATCTTCAGAAGCTTCAAACCTCTAATTGGGTTGGGTTATGCAGAGTTGTAAGCAGGACTTTGTGGTTTCAGTGAAGAAGTCATGGTACAATTGAAATCACTGTAAGAAATAAGTGATTTTTAACACACACACAGATACACACTTGCCTTAAGAGTTATACATATATATATTATATATATAATATACACACACACACACACACACAACACAGCAGCTACGTGGGTGGTCAGCAAGGCCAAGGGCATGGGCATGTGAAAGAGAAGCCCTCTGCTCCCTGTCAAATCGGGAAGCCCCCAGAAGGGATTCAGCAGCAACAAGTCTACAGCACAAACGTGAACGACATCATCCCTGAAAAGACCCAGTTAACCGACTGCCCTATAGGAGCCACTTGAGCCTAAACCCTGTGGGAAAAGGCCCAACTACAGTATATCCTACTGCATACACTTGAAATAGTACAGTGTAGCTTTTCTCCAGACTATTATAATTTTTCATGCTTTCTGAAAAAAATAAAAACTGAAACCTTCTTTCAGTCTGTGATGAAGCGAGGTGAACCCATATCATAAAGCAGAGCTCATACTCCACAGGATTTGTGAACAGAATGCCTATCTGATTAACAAGTCTTCATCCCTCCAGCCTCAGGAGGCAGCACTCCTGTAGCTCCAAGGCAGGGATTACTGAGAAGCCCAGGGAAAGCGCTCCAGTAGTAAAGACATCCAAGCTGTGCATCTCTTCCCTGCTGGGGGTCAGCTACAAAGAGAGCTTGGGGTGGCGGGGTGGCGGGGTGGCTAAACTGGAAGAACACAGATGAATGACCACTCTGATCAAGCCCAGATATGGAAGCTCCAGCTTGGGAGCTAGAAGCACCAAGCAGGTGCTTCAGAGCTGGGCAACACTGTCTTCCAGGTTGTTAAAAACTTCGGTTTTAAAAACCCAAATGGTTTTACCACCATGACTTCTTTCCAACTCAAAGCTGTAGGTTACTTACAACCCAAATCATAAGCACATAGACTGTACACACAGATTTTTTTTTTAAATCCACAAATAAAAAACACTGTAAAAAAAAAAAAAAAAGACAGTGAGTTGAAGTCTTGTCTTTGTCCAGCTGGGCTTGCCCTGGAGCCCTGCCCCTCACTCAGCCCTGTTCCTGCTCTTCTGGCCCTTGGTGGTCCCTATTCGTCCTCCGTGGCAGCTGTCAGCATCCCCTTGTCAGTCAGGTGAGATTTGAGCATGTTGAAGATGTGGAGCTGCTGATCTGGCCTCAAGGTCAGGAACTGCTGAACCAGCTTACTCGGGTTAGGGCCCCTAGAAGAGGATGAAGAAACAGCACTGAGCAAAGCAGGGGCCAAGCAACTTCGAGGGCCTGATTATTTAAGTAGCTGCTCCCTCTCTGGATTCTCTACTAATGGAGGGTAAGGGTCCTCAGGGAATCCATAACTAATAGCAACTGAAAACTGCATTCACACTTGGTTTTTTTCACTCAAACTGAGAAGTAGCTAGAATTCTAGAATTTCACCACTTAAAAATCCACTAACTTGGTTCAGATGGAAAGGTACTATACCTGATAAAACTGGCAATATACACATTGACAAAGGTGGCCATCAGATACTGGCAGTCAAAGCGATCCATGATGCCTCCATGGCCAGGAATGGTATTGGCAAAGTCCTGTTAGAGGAGGGGAAGGATTGATGAGCCTGGCCTCAGCCAAGTCAAAGCCTGGTTTATGGTCCCACCTCAATGTCCAGCTACTGTACTGAATAGCTGAGGGCAACAGAAAGTGAAAAGTAAGTATTGATTCAAATGCTGAAGCTATAATAGGACACAATCTTATTAAATTACAAAATGTTTCTTTTGAAGAAAGAATATATTAACAAATATACTGAAAATCCAACCACTGAATTTTCTTAGAAACAATGTATCTTCCTTTAACCTACTTAAATTCCATGCATGGGTGAAGAAGAGCACACATTAATAATCAGAGTTCATAGCTTGGTATTTTGAAGGGGGTGGTGGCTGATGAAGTGGGACAGGAGGAGGAAGGCAGAAGACGGGTGAAAAGGGGCCCAGCTTGGAGACAATGAGGGGAAAAGAAAAGGGTTTTCCTACTTTGATTTTAAAGGCTCGCTTGAATCCACTAGCGAAGAACCCTCCAAAGGGGCCAATGAGTGAAGCAAAAGTGGAGAGGGCAATGCTGTGAATCTGGAAGGGGTACATCCGGACTGTTTTCTGAAAAGAATAAATGAAGTCAGTTGAGATGCCTGCAAGCCCAGGCTTATTACTTGTTAACATTAAAAAACAAACAAACAACAACAAAACCACCTCTTTATGAAACTATTTCTCTCCCCCCACCCCAAAATAATTTAGGAAAAAGACTGGTTTGTGGGTTTTTGTTTGTTTTTGGTAAATCTCTAATATATGGCTTAATAGAGGACATTAAGGTACTACGCACTCAGTCTACAGCAATATGATGTTTTGGTTGAAGTGTATGAAGAAAATCTAGCCCTACAAGGACACATTGTTGAAAAAAGGAAGAGTATTTTAGCACCGTCTTTTCAGATAATTATGGGTATTCTTCTCTGATACTACACCAGAACTTGAGCCGTAGTTTTCTAAAAATTTGGTGCAATGTGGAATCTGAAAGCCTATCAATGACCATTTGAATGGATCGTTTACCCGTGCATGACTGTGTAACACCATGCACTGGCCATTTCAAAAATACTGGTTCACTGAGTTACACAGATCTTTCAAATGTAGACAAATTTTGCCATACAATGTCAAAACGTCATATGTTAAAATCACCACAGATCCCTCAGAAAAGCCTTTAAGTATTAAGAAGCTGTCAAACTTACAGTGGCAGGTATACACTTTCCAAAACTCTAATTTGTACTTGAAAGCCAAATTTTATCATTGGTAACAACTACTGTCAGTTGTTTTCTTGAAGTGACAGACTCACTTTGTTTCTTTTCAAGAAAAATGTCTGCCAAAAATCCAAATCTGAAAAATTATAGTTTGCCGGTTCTTTTCAAGTAAAAATTATGTCCCCATAAAAAAGCCGCTAGTTCAGCTCGTAACTCAAGCAGGTGCACACGCAGTCTTCCTTTAGGTAAGCACTGTCCTGCAGCATATAGCAGGAGCATTTTATGTATAATTTCCATTTTGGTACCAGAGCATTAGAAAGGTGTGTATTCAAGGGTCAAGATTTAATAAATTTAATAATTTTACTATCCCATCAAAGACATTCTTAAAGTGAGCTGGCTGAGTCTTCCTGTGAGTATGTGGCATAATGAATTCAATGACAGTCCAGTTTAGTGCCACTGCCTTCACTCATGCTAAGGTGCCAGCACTGCTTTTGCACCACCATGGCAAATGTTGACAAAGTGAAAAAGTGAAACTTTCTTCATTATGTTATGAAGAAAGTACAGACCCCCTGAGAGGACCTCAGGGTGCCCCAGGATCCAAAAGCACACTTTCAGAATCCTGGTCTTAATGATTTGAAGCGGGAGGAAATGTCTCCTCCTGTCCTCACCCTGAACTGACTTGAGCAATTCTCCAACCTGGGGCTTACAAGCTTTGGGGAGGGAGGAAGCTAGTTGTTTTTGAGGGAAGGCAGTGGTGGAGAGAGGGCTCTCTCTGTGTAGTCACTATCCAGCCAAGGATCATTCGCCCCATGTGAGTGGCACATACCCAGCCAATGACCGACTGGATCACCCCAGGAATGTTGTACTCCTGCAGACGAAACAGGTCCGAGGGCTCACAGTCCACAGTGAAGCTGTTGGTATCATTGTTGTACTCCACGGGGCAGACAAAGCATCTGTACCCGGACATCACATAGGACAGCTGAGGATGAGAACAGACAGACTAGGGAAACAAGTTCCAGCCATCTTGCCTGGGCAGCATGTGCCTGGTTCAGCCAAGTCCCTCACAGTGCCTAGCACCCTAAGTGCAAGCTATGCACTAAATCAGAGGTTCATATTTCACCATATGTGTATTTTACCTGTATCTGGAAAAAAAAATGGAAAAGAGGCTGATGGCCCACTGAGGCTTCAATGTACTTGCTCCAATAACCAGGCCCTGAATAAATCCAGGAAAGACCTGAGGGAATTTGGGCAAAGAACTACAAGAAGTTTCACCCATTTGGAGGAGCAACGGTCCATTTTTCTCAGGATCCCTTAATTCAAAATGGCAGGTGGTGAGGGGAGTGGTATAGTGAGAGGGAGACAACCAGGAGGAGAGAAGGCTGAAGAGCAGTAAGTAGGGGGTCAGCCCTGAAGGGCAGCTGGACAACTTTGAAAAGGGGAGAGACAGGCCTGAGGGTCAAAAGCAGCGAATGGTGCTCTAGAAAGGGCTGGGAGATCATTCCTCTCCAGGAAAGACACGCACAGGAGAAAATCTGGGTTAGAATGGCATATCCCACCTCACCTCTTACTCTCAGGCAAAATATCAATTGCCTGGACAAGAATGCCATCTCCTGAGTGTTGCCAGGCCTCAGACTGAGAGGAGTACAAGGTGTGCACGGCCCCCACTCCTCTACTGCTTAAAGACTGGCAGATAAAGGACAGCTGGCATTGCCCATGCCATGTTCATGCCCCGCTATAGGGCAAGGTTGCCATTCTGCAGGACAGAGTCCTTGGCCTCGGGGGACATGCTCACTAGCCATGGATGGGCTTTGAAGGTGGGTGGGAGGCCTCTGCCCATCCCCCACCCAACTGGGAGCACCACCTACCAGAAGGCCAAATACCACAGTAGCAAAGCAGCCCCCGATGAAGCCTTCCCAGGTCTTCTTCGGGGACAGCTGTGGACAGAGAGCAAGTTCTTAAAAAAAGGCATTTTGATAACTCTAGCTTTGGGAATAATGATTAACTGTTAAAGGTCTTTCTACTATTAAAAAAACTCATTCAATTAAACCACCTCACCTTCTAAAGTACCCCATACTTGGTTTCCTTGTTCCCTGTCTGATAGCCCTCAGTTTCCTTTCTGTTTCAATTGGCCAAATAATTTAATTATATTATAAAACAGCAAACTATTTAAATGATAACACTCAAATTCAGATCAAAGCCACAAAAGTGTGCCTACACCGTCTATAAAAATATTTTCCCTATTAGCTCTTTTTTTTCCTATGAGTAGTTGTCAAGTCTTCCTCTGGCTTTTCTCTTGAAGCTAATTTATTACTAGCCTTTCATCAGGATGACATAAAGATGTACACACCAGCTAGATCTCTTCTGTCTCCCAAGCTGATCTACTCATATTGAAAGCACCACCCTCCCCTCACGGTGATGGTCCATGTTAGGGTGATCCACTTACCTTGATGAGTGGGGTTCGACCAAAGAAGAAGCCAAACATATAGGCCATAATGTCATTACAGATCACACAAGAAATGGGGACAATGAACCTAGGAAATAAACCAAAGTAAGAATCAACACTACCAAGATGATAATACCTCAAAAGTCCACAAAACAATGCCATTCATAAATTTCAGTACCAGAATAACCCATATAGTACTTATTAACCATTAAGGAATAAGTTTAAAAGAAATAAAATGCCACATAAGCCATACCTAGTACCCAGCACATAGCAGCATTCAAATGTTTACTGAATGACTACTGAATAAATGGAGGTGGTACCCTATGAAATGTCATTTGTTCTTTTTTCATTATAAAGTAATATAAAAATTTAAAGTGTAAAGAAAAGAAAAAATAAAAAGTTACCTTGTTTCCCCTATCCCTATCTCCATTCTCCAAAATAACTACTTTTAAACATTTCTGACTTTTCTTCTTCTAGTAGTTACTTCCATAATCCTAAGTAATACATTTATTATCTATTTCATAATTTACCTTTTTTTTTTTTTTACTAGCTCTACTAGCTCTAGTGAGCCCAACTCTTCCCCAGGACTACACTGAGAGCAAGATCAAGTACATATAGCCAGATTTCTTCTCTGCCTCCCTCTGCTGGTCTGGTCATCCCCACCATGAAAAAAAAGGGACAGTTTCCAAACTTGTACCATCTCTCTCTTCTCACTTTCTGCTCTCTGACAGTCACTTTTTTCAAATTTTCTCTATTACAGTTTAACATAACATACAAAAATCCTAGCCCTTCAACTACAGGCAATATTTTCTGACTTCCTGCTTGTTAAGGTAGGGATTTAGAGCACCTGTATCCACCCAACAACCCATAGTATTTACTTTGTTGAGGCTTCTAGCAACATTCTCTGCTCTACAACTATAATTAAGTCTTGAAGATTCAGTCTAAAAACCAATAACTAGAGATTTTAATATGGTTCACTCTAGAGCCAAGTGGTATGTCTAGCCCTGAAGATGAGAACTTAGCATGAGCCCCTCTTTAGAATTACTTAACAACACTCTGAAAGAGAGGGAGAGTACATCTCCTCAGGCCATTATCATTATTTTAAACATAATAATGCCATAAGGCGAACATTTAGATGAGCTAGTCTCTGTTCTAAGCACTTTACATATTTTTACTAATTTATTCCTCAGGCAGTGTACCCACTGTACCTTCACCCTGAGAACAGGAAACAGAGGCACAGTTTGGGATCTTAATCACAGTACTTTAGCTCCTCATATACACGAGGATATGCCTTCACATTTTCACTAAAAGCATAGCTTCTTCAGTCAGCCTACTGATTTCTGTCAATGGTGATAGATTTCCTGCTGAAACCATTGCATATGTGGAATAAAATCTACTAAGTATATCATTCTTTTGACACATTGCCAGATTCCATTCGCTAATAGTTTATTTAGAATAGTATATCTATAATCATAAAAGAAATCAGTTTATCATTCTTGTTTCTCCCTCCCTATGGTTTTATCAGCTTTAATATTAAGGGGTGGATAAAACTCAGCTGCTATCATTGGTCATTTTTTCCAGGTGTGGATTCTTATGCAATTTTCAAAGTTCTTTTATAGTTACTGATCTATTCAAGTTTTCTTCTTCGTGATTTTTACTCGGTGACCTCTTGTTAGGAAATCATGATTTTTTCTTCTAGATTTTCAAATTTGTTGCCATATAGTTACATTGCCTTTGATTCTTTAAATATCCCTACACCTGTTAGTCTAGAACAGTGGTTCTCAAAGTGTAGGTCCCAACCAGCAGCATCAGCATCACCTGGGAATGTATCAGAAATTCAAGTTCTCAGGCCCCACCCCATAGCTACTGAAGCAGAAACTCAGGAGTGGGGGTGCCCAGCAACCTGTGCTGCAACTAGGCCTGCAAGGGATTCTGATGTAGCTCAGGTGAGAATCTCTGGTTTAGACAGTTCATCAGAGTTTCTCAGCCCACCTATATGAAAACACCCACAAAATAAAAGGAACCCCCCCCAACATCACTCACCAGATCATTCCTTCAAACAGGTTGTGGATAACAAGATGTGACTGGGTTACAACAATCAGTAATGTTACATGGGTCCAGCCAAACTGCAAAAGAAGATAAAGGATAAACTTTACCTAACAGTTTAGCTTGAAAGGAACTTCAAATAACCGTTAATACCAAATAGAAAATTGCTTAGAAACAGGTAGGAAAGATATCTGCTTCTGTACCTGCCTTACAGGAAGTGAAAAAGGTATAGAACAGGCCTCTGGGAAGAACTATGTTCCCCAGCTACAGTTGCCATCAAAAGGAGGGCCCATATGGCCCATTAGTTAGTCCTTCTATGCTCCAAAAGCCTGGGTACTTCTCATTTTCTTAGTAAGTATTTATTGAGTGCTTAGGACACTCAGAGAGGGGATGTTTTTAGGTTGAGGGAGTGATATAGCAGGCAGGATATCTATGGGCAATGCCTAAAGCTTCACCTTGAGCCTTACCTGGAGGCCACCCTCAGGTCCAGAGGGCAAAGACTACTTAGGGTGTAAATTACATAACAGCGATTGGGTCTAGGTGGATAAAGAGCCACCAAACTTCACGAGGGATGCCTCCTTCATCCTCTAGGTTCCAGATGAATAAAAACAGACTGCATTCCAGGGTTTTGATTTATCACTGAAAGGATGAGAGACCTGTGGAGTTTCCACAGAATTTCACTTATGCCAAGAATTTTGACACTGATGCGCATATTTCCCTTACCATGTAGAACTGCAGTCGATAATGCTTCTTGACCAGACTCAGCACAAACATGCAGAATCCTAGTTTGAGGAAGAGGAGGAGAAAGGGCAAAATGAATCACATTCTGCATTTATCTTTGTCCTAGTCATTTCCTTTAGCTGTGTTAAGCAGTCCTTTGCTAATTTCCTGGCAGCAGTTAACCAACCAGGGCACAAATTCATAGCCCAAGGGAATAAAACCAGATAAGCAGTCAGAAGGAAAAAATGACTCCTTCAAGACAATTAAAGGAAGGCAATATTTTAAAATCTTGCAGACTACACTCAACTTAGGACACTGTTCACCAGATAGAAATGTTTTGATCCTAGAGCACGGGCCGACAACAGTCAGGCCAGCCGCCTGTTTTTATAAACAAACTTTTACTAGAACACAACCATACCTATTTGTTTACATATTGTCCAGGGTTCCTTTTGTGCTACAATGGCAGAAATGAGGAGCTGCAACAGAGACCCTATAGCCCCCAAAGCCTATAATATTTATTATCTGGACCTTTTAAGAAAAAGTTTGCCAACCTCTGTCCTAAAGAACAGGCAGAAGGAGGATCTACCTGGTATGGGGCCAAGGCCATCCTTGCATCTCTCTCCTACTGACCCATATGACCGAACTCTCCAGGAAGAAAAGGGATTTTACCCATAAGTGTGCTGAGTCCCTCAAAAGTAGCCCTGCCCAGAAGAGAGCACATCACTATTCAAGACCCCTGGCCTCCCTTTGTGGGGCTGCTCCCAGGCTCTGAGGCATGCTCTCTATCCTCAACACAGCAAACCTCTCAGAAGGGGACTTCATATTTTAATAGCCAGGTGTCTTTCACGGAGTATTGCCATCAAGCTGATGAACAACAGGTAAGACTGAAACTTATTAGGTCAGAACAAATTTCTCATATGCCTCAAACTGGCTTTTAGGGTAACTATGAAGAACACATTACTAGCATTACTGTACAGTCTTAACTGAGTTTAGATTGACAGAGCACTTTACTGTTTGTCAAGTTGCAATGTATCTGTTCAAATCCTCACAGTAATGCTCCTGTTTTAGCTTTAGATTACAGAAGAGCTAACTGAGATTCAAAGAGTAAGCTCCTGGCTCCTTTGAAGTCACAGGTCTTTTTAAACCCAAATCAATAAAATTTCTAATATACTGCAATGTCCCTTTTTTTTAAATTAATTTTTATTGGAGTATAGTTGATTTACAATGTGTGTTAGTTTCTGCTGTACAGCAAAGTGAATCAGTTATACATATATATATATATCCACTCTTTTTTAGATGCTATTCCCATATAGGTCATTACAGAGAACTGAATAGAGTTCCCTGTGCTATATATACAGCAGGTTCTTGTTAGTTATCTATTTTATATATAGTAGTGTATATGTCAACGCAATGTCCCTTTTTATATACAAGTTCCTGGGTGGTTTTTGTTTCAGTCACGCTGCAGAATCTCTGCCAAGAGGACAGTCAGGACAAGACCATGCTATGCAGTCCTCCAACAGAGGCTGGAACACAAGGACACGTGGCACAAACTCAGCCTCCACAACCACACAAGCCCCTTGGTCTCATTTCTCTTAGTAAAGAGCTGCTACAGCTCACGTAAGGCAGAATCCTTAGCTCTGCTCCCCTAAGTGGTCAGAGTTAATGTCATCAAAACCTTACATTGACCAAGAAATGCCCCAACTCAGCAGACATGCAAAAGCAAGACATACACAACTGGTGAGCTGCTTGACTCATACCTGTTAGATAGAGAGTAAAGGAAATGAATCGGTGGTATTTACTGAGAATCCGCAAAGGTTCCTCTCTCTGGACCAGAGTGAAGAAGTAATCTGTCACTGTTTCGCCATAGAAGAAATAATTTACACACAGTAGAAAGTACCTGTAAGAGAATACAGGTCACTGCCAAGGGGAGCACATGTGGCCTCTCCTTTAAAGCGAGGCTGTTAGAAAGCTTCGAGGACCAGAGGTCCACCTGACCCCCAAGACCCCCGGGGGCAGCTCACACAGGACAAGCAGATCACCATTCCCTGTTCTCTGGTGACACTGAAGGTGAGACGTTTATCTAGAAATTTGTGGCTTTCATTCACTCTCCATTTATCATAAACTTGGGACTCAAGTTTTTGCCCCTTCTGTAGCATTACCAGGCCTAACTTAACACTCAAACTGTAAGACAACCCTCTGAAAGGCACCTCATCCTGCCTCCGCAGCCTTACATCCACTCTTCCTGACACAAACCTTGCACACCTATCAAAATGGACTTCTCTGGCTTTGCCACCTGTCTGCTTGGTTCCCTTCTTTTCCCTGCCTGGAACATCCTCTTCACTTACCCAGTTTATCACTCGTTGCTCAAATACCATTTTCTTCATAAAAACCTTGCATGACCTAAACATGATATCTGCCTCCCCTGCATTTATTTCTATAGTACAAAGTATTTGCTCCTTCCACTAAGCAATTAATTATGCTTCAGACTGTCTTCCTCTCTGATGCCTGGCTTTGACACACAAACCTTTCACTAGCACTAACTCTTCATCTGTTTATAACCTCTCTCCTCTACTGGAAGGAGCTCTGAGGAGGGAGAAGACATGGCTCATATACCTTTGCGGCCTCACTGGTGTTTCTGAGTATGGGAACCAGCAGCCCCACTCTAAACACTCAACAAGGATCCAGACAAAGAAGAGAAGGGAGAGCTTCTCTCTTCCATTTTTTCTTTTTTTTTTTTTTAATTGTGGAAGTTCAAGAACTCCCATACTGGGTTTGTTTTCTGTTATGTGAAAAACACTTCCTTTGTACAGTGACCACAGTCAGGGGTCAGACATCCTGAGTATGTTAACAAAATTCATAACATTGTTTTCCAGCTATAGAAGACCCACAAGAGAGACCTACATCTTAACCCAGGTGGCAAGCACAGGCCCTGTGGAGACTGCGAGGCAGCTTGTGCTGCTGGATGACGAGGAAGCATCTCTCAGAGGATGTGTCCAGGCCAAGTCCGAGCACATCAACTCCCTTGGCCATAACCAAGTTGCTGGGGCCCAAAACACTACTCTCTGGCCTGGTAAGTAATGAAATCAATGCCCGAGACCCAGCACAGCAGGGTGAGAAGAATCTGTATTTGCCCGAAGTCTTCTCAGGACTACACAGTACTCTGCTCACATGTCACCACCTGAGAAGAGTGTGGTCAATACAGCAGCGAGTTTCAGATCAGGAAGGGGTCTCGGACATCATCTGCACTATAGGTTTTGACCCTGTTTTTGCTTCAAGATAGCCAAGCCCGGAATTCCCTGGTGGTCCAGCGGTTAGGACTCTGCGCTCTTACTGCCGAGGGCCCAGGTTCAATCCCTGGTCAGGGAACTAAGATCTTGCATGTAGCGTGGCGTGGCCAGAAAAAAAAAAAAGCCAAGCCCCTTCCTAGGAGGAGAAAACAGAGTTCCTCTGAGGAGCCCCGATCCCCTGCACTCAGTCTCACTCCTGCTCACTGGCACCCAAGGAGCCTCCGAGGAACTAGGGCTCCAAAACCACAGTTTGAAAAGCACTGACTAGGTCTCAACCATCTGTTTTAAGGATGAGGAAGTCAAGTTCCAGAGATAGCAACACCAGCACTGACAACTCCCAGATAATTCTTGTGGGATGCTGAGATACTAGAGCATGAAAAATGTACTGATATAGAAAAGGGGGGCCATTGTGCAGAGTCTAAGGAATCCAAATACTGATGCAAACACAGTCACAGATGCAGCTGGTCTGGTTTCTTCTGAGGAAGAGTCCAGACTCTGGGTAGCTACTCAAACGCTCCTCACAGGCCAACCATACAGTCCGGCCTATGCAATACTTGGGTCTCAAAGGTGCTGTGAAGGTCCATGGCCATCACAGCCTCCCTCCCACCATGATTGTAAATACCTACCACAAAACACTTGTCCAAATCTGTTAAGGGTTTCTGTGGGGCTAAAGAGCTTACCAGCTGAGGGTTCTGAACCAGGGCAGGTCATAGGAGTGGTAGACATTGTAGCCAATAGTGATAATCTCATGGAAACACTTAATCTGAACACACATCACCTGCAGGACACAAAAGAATTAGAACACTTGTCAACTCCCCAATTCTTATGATCTTTAGAAACAGAAACCAACAGGTCATGGGCCTTCAAGAAAAACCACTATATTTAAGAACAATGTCGGTCCTTCAGTGATTCCGCTCTCCTCCTTTCTCTCTCACACCACCCCACAGGGTAGTGAGGCCCTTTAAGTCACACAGAGTAGATGCAATTTCTCACAATAAATATATGCTTCTGAAAGTTCAATTAACTTTTTATTGTAGAACACCCCCCCCCACCTCGGGACTCAATATCTTCCATTCTTGACTTCGAATAGAAATACATACTTGAAAAGTCCCAACTGCTCTGCTCAGCTCTCATCTGTTAGTCATTTGACCCTGTCCACGACAGTGGGAAGACTAACAGCAAAGTACTGTGGACTGGGATTTCTTAACAAAAAAGTCCTAAAACCTAGGAGGGAGACTCCAGGAAAACAAGAAACAAAACCAAGAGTCACACAGAATCGTAGCCAGGGTCCCAGTTTGATCAAAGAGCTGAAGTAATAAAATCAAATTTTAAAGTGATCCTTAATTCACACACAAATAGCCCTCCAGTTGGCTGCTGGAAGGTGAGAAATCGCAGCTATTCTAAGGCAGATGTGGTCTGAAGAGCCTGGACCCCAAGTGATTCCCAGAACCAGCCCAACACCTGGCACTTAAAATGACCAGTCCTGTAGGGAAAAGTGAAGGCAAAACTATAAAACAGCATATAAATGGCACTTACAATCATCATTAAAACCATTGGTCCCAGGTAAATGATGATGAAGAAAAATGCAATCATGGCCAAAGTCAAGATGCCTCTCACCCACCAGTTCTTCCATCTAAGTTAGAGAGGAGGGGAAGGAGAAAACATGTCAGGGGCCCAGAAAGAACTGAGGTACAAACCCAAGGGGGATGGTTCTTCCTGGGTTGAGAGGGCCCTGAGGTCAATCCTTTCCAGGAGTATGTCCTTCACCTTGACAGAGGCAGTAGCCCAGTAGCCACATGCTGGGAGGTGCAGAGCCACCAGAGCCATCACATCATCCATGCTAAACTCAGCAAGTCCTCCAAGGTCCACAGAAAAACACACCCAGCTTGTGTCTTAACGAAGGAATCAGGCAAAAGACCCGAGGGAACAATGCCCTCTACTTCTGTATCTACTTGGACGGCTTCTATGGGCTTCTCTATCTGAGGAAAAAAACATTTTTCCTGCAGCAGAATCCTACATTGCTCTGACCCTGCATTGCTATGGCGATAACAGTATCAAACACAGTGGTAATAATAGCTACCATATGTATGTACCTGGCACTTCTATAAGGACTTTACATGTATTAATTGATTCAACCCTCAACACTACTAGCTTTTACAACAGATGAAGAAAGGGATGCACAGTTCATACGCCTGTGAAGTGCTTAAGCTGAGATTTGAATCCTGGGAGTCTGGCTCCAGAACCCATGTCCTTAACCACTGCACAATACAGCCTTTCAAAGGGACAAATGTGTGGGAGGCATGCCCAGGAACACTCTTAGATAATGTTTTGGGGTCTTATAGTTTGCCTTTTTAATCTGCCCACGCAGCTGGTATCGGAAGGACTAGAATCTCAAGGGATCAAAATTTTAACCCTGAATTCACCCAAGTTGAGATGTTTCTCAATTCTTATAGGAAAATTCAAGGAATGTCCACAATGTATGTGTGTGAGAGAGGGAAAACTGAACTCCTAACTAGAAACTTGGGCTCCTCAGTGTAAAGCAACCTGCCCATTAGTCACAAACCCCAAGGATCATTCATCTTCATGTGCTGTGTCAGTGACCACCCCCATGTCCACTCGTTCCTCCTCCTTAGACAGCACCTCCCAGACAGCCTAGAGCACCCTTCAAGGCCAGATCCACCCAGGCGGCGCTCGTAGTCACTGTTAAACACTAGATGATACTCAATGGAGCCCTAGGCAAAGGCAGGGGAGACTGTGGCCAATGAAAGCGGGCAGGCCTACACCTCACATTCTAACAGATGTGGGCTCCTGCTACAAGATTGTGGGCTAAGGGCTTCGGGTTTTCCATGGCACTTGGAGACAGTGCAAGACCCCAGCAAGCACTTGCATCATTAAGCCAAGCTACCTTGAAGACAAGTTGGAAAGGGCCCTGTTGAGGACCTCTGGGGTATCGTCTACAGAGGTTGGTAGGGTGACAGCTTCCACTCGGCTCTCACTGTCCGATGCAGTCTCTCCATCTGCCTTTGCTTCTGCCTCCGACTCCTACATAGCAGAAAAACAGAAGAGGAAAAGGTCACAAGCGCTGAGTAGGATACTGGGTGTAGACATCCAAAAAGACCCATCCACCTTTGAGAACCCCTCTCCATCAACACCTAAGTCACACAGGGAGCAGCCCCTGCTCTGCCACAAGCTATGGATGCTCAGAACCACCAAGACAGCCCAGGCTCTCTCGGGGAAAGCTGGGTGTTCAGGCTATTGCCCCTGCAACAGGGCTCCCCAAAGTCCATGGTGTTACTTCCAGACTTCACAAGAACACCCCATAAGGAGGCCAGCCCCACTCAGTGTGAAAGCCCTATGGGACCACTAACTCGAGTCACTGCTTCACCAGGACTGGTGTGTACCACTGCCCTCTCCCAGCCACCAGGCCTGGGCATCAGCAGACACTTTGATGTCACTCACAGAGTTGCCACCAGACCCCAGCCATATAAGGAAATGCTCACAGGAACTCACCCTGCTCCCCAGCCTGTGTGAAGGGACCAGAGCCATGCCAACAACAGGTTCTCCAACCAGAGTACCATGGAGCAGGCTGCTCTACATCCTAGGGACCATCCTTCTACTCAGAGCTTTTATTTCTTAGGAGAATTTAGAATAGCTGCTGTGAGAAGAGGTGCAGGAGAAATCAAATCACTTGGAATCAGAGTAACAATACTACACAGTATTTGAATAGCCCTTCACAGTTTTGAGAGCATCTCCCACACCTGTGAACATCTGAGCAGCTCTGGGAGGAAGGGAAGGAAGACGGAAAGATCCCTGTTTACAAATGAAGAAACAGGGGCTCTGAGAAATTCGATGGCTGGCCCCAAATCTCCTACTAACCAGGTCTCTGACTTCAGTGTGTTCATCCCACTAGATTTCCTTTTATGTAAGCATCTCGGAATCCATTTTATTCTTCAGTAAGAGATTCAGAATAAAGTAAACTGAAAATGGCAAAAGGAGGTTTCACCAAAGTGTCAAAGATTTCATTACATACATGTGCAAACAAAAAGACAGTTATATCTTTCTTCAAATTGGACAGTTTGAATTTCCCTGATGACTAATAAATATATGAAACTGAGGATCCCTTCACGTGTTTCTTGGCCATTTGGATATCGTCTTCTGTGAAGTGTCTGTCAAGCCATTGGCCAGTTTTCTTCTGAGTTTTCTTGCTTTCCTTTTTATTGATTTGTAGGAGTTTTTTTTAATATGTTCCAGATTTAAGTACTTTGTGTCACTAACCTGTTCCTCCAGCCTTCTCTAACCCCCACGCCCCACCTCAGTCCTTCCCTTTCCTACAATCAGACCTTCTCCCTCCGGCTCAGCACTGGCCACAACAGGGACTTGGTGGGAGATTTTATAACTGTCTTCTGCCCCAACTGACCATAAGGTCCCTAAAGACAAGGATTATAACAACTTTTTCTCAGGATATCCTCATGCCCGGCACAAAGATACTTACATAAAATACTTACAAATATATGTAAGGATGGTGGGAGGAAGAGAGGAATTAATTCCAGGTGTGGTAAAGCTGCCCCTGCCCTCATAGAGACAGCTGTTTCTAAATTAACTCACAACTGTGATAACACCACAAAACAGAGGCTTTAGTGCAGAACTGCTGATACAGAGACAGCAGGCTTTGGTAAAGAACTTATGGAGGCACTTTGCTGTACAGCAGAAATTAACACAACATTGTAAATCAACTATACTTCAATTTAAAAAAAGAAAGAACTTATGGAGGTGGCCTCATCCGTAGGATCTGAGGGGAAAAGCCACAACTTCCGATGATGGGGGTCAGTGCTCCTTCCTCCGCCATGCTTAGCCAGTGGCTCTGGACAAGTCACCCAAGTGACTTGTACTGTGCTTCCTCACCTAATAAAAGAAGCCCAGAAAGGACCCTCCTTATCTGGTAGGGGTTCCCTAGAAAGATTTAACCAAACCCCCACCCAGAGCTGTACCTATTCCACTGCCCCACAAGGTTCTGAAATGCATGGATAATGTGGGATTATCCCTCTCTGATGAGACTGCCTGAAGACTGAGGCATTTGGAACAGCTTTCCATTCTTCATGTTAACATTATCATCCTCTCCCCATCAGCTACCATCAGGAATATGAGGTAACGATGTTGTGGGATTATCTAGATCTGACCCCTCAACCAAGGGGCTTCAAAATGCAAGTACCAGAGCCCCACCAAGGCTTCCTACAGATGTTCTCCAGGAGTATCTAGAAGCCACAGGGGCTGAGGTGAGCACAGCAGACGAGAGGACACAGGCATGCGTGCATGCACACACACAAGCCCTAGCACAGTTTATTTTTAACTTATCCATCCTGTTGTCAAGGAAACTCACAAAGGCTGCTGGTTCCCCAGGCTAGGAAGGGCAGGAAGGAACCCAGGCAGAGCCCCTGCAGGGGAGGGGCAGGGACCTCCGGCGCGGTACTAAGTCTCTGGACTTTGCAGGCCCTTTTACGAACGTTAGCCCAGATATCGCCATATCCGACTCCTCTCCTTCCTTGCTAGGAGGAAGTGCAGTGAAGAGAGGTATCCTGAAGCAGAAAGTAGTAAAAGGATAGAGAGAAATGTTACAAAGATGCTGTGACTGTTGTTACTGTCAAGACATCAGGGGGCCTGGGATGAACAACTAAGAAATGAAGTAAATGCCCTAAAGAAACAAGCCTGAAGGAGATTAACTTTCCAGGTGTCACCTGCCTGTAAGCAAGTAACTCACTCCAGGCTCCTGAATAAGCATCCTCAGAGCCCTTAACTGGAGGTCTCCTCAGAGCAGGAGACAAACACCTACACAGGCAGCCACTCTCCCACAAGCTGAAACAGAGCCAAAAAAGGCAGAAGGGCAAATTCCTGTGCAGGAGGAAAGAGCACAGCCTGGGAAGACATGGATCAGGGTGGGGCAAATCAGCCAGCTCTCTGGGCTCCAGGTGGAGATGTCGAGAAAGCAGGGCAAGGAACAGAAACCTTGGAGAACCTGGAATCCTGCGGCGTTCTGGCTCCTCCCCATGCACGGACAGGGCCTTCCACTTGGGCTGCTCATGCCCGAGTGAGGAGGCGAATGCTGGCGGCAGCTTCCATAGTGGGCCCAGAAGGAGGCAGAAACCTGGAGCCCAAGTTTTCACCCAGCAGAAAGTGGCACACGCAGGACCAAGAGTCAGAGATGTCAAGCGCTTCACTGGTTTGCTCCTCCAGCGGATGGTGAGACAGGCAGACGCCACAGAAGACTTTCTGCAGGAGGTGGCGGCGGCAGCCAGTCAAATCCCAGCCCTGGTGCTCATGACACTCAGCACAGGCCTCCAGTCTCTGGTCTTACCACTGGGGAAAGGACCCCCCCCCCCACCTCAGACGGTTGTTGGGATGATCAAATGCAACATCAGTGAAAGTCTATTAAAACTATAAAGGGACGGAATAGCAACAGGCACCTGCTGCACCCACACCCACACCCACCCCCCCTGCAGTAGGCTGACCATGGCACACACGACAGGAGCCCAAGAACCCTAAACACCTACCCCAGGCAACCTGGGCACCCTTCCCAAGGAGGGTAGAGTGGTGAAAGAATGGTGGTTATCAGGCTTTGCTGGGGCCCTGGGCTAATCAATTCTGTGAGCTCAGCATCTGCCTGCCTTGCTTCCTCTTTCCTGTTTTCCATTCATCCAACAGGCGGCCCCAACTCAAAAATGATCCACTTCTCAAAGCTCCCATGAAAGGTGGAGGTCTGAGACACAGGCAGCAGTACATGGCCGTGCTCCCTGATGTGGGATGTGTATAGCACAGTCCACTGAGGTGTGGGAGGAAATATTAGGACTTATTTCTATTTAGCTCATTCAGCTTTCCCTTCTTGTGCATGCTTTATAAGGGACCTATCAGCACAGATATATAACTGAGTGAGTCTGTGCAAGCTGGGGCACATGGTAAAAGCATCACATATATGTTGGACACGGTGGTGTGTCAGTGACTGTGGTCTTCTTGATTCCCACTGCACTGAGCAGTGCCTGGAACGTAGCAGGCGCCCAAAGATTTGTTGGACTAATGAGCTAATTAATTCTACTTAACCTACCATGGACCAAAGTGTCTGTTTGCACTGAGCATATGACAGAACCCACTTGGATTTCCAGCTCGTGTGGCCCTTGCAGCAGAGCCAGACTAGTGCCCACTCTCATCCCCTCTCCCTGCTGACTGGTGGGTCTGAGGACTCAGCTCAGTAGCTCTGGGGCCAGAACACAGTGGCGGGGAAAGGCTGCCTTGCTGCTTCAAGCTGTCTCAGCACGGCTCCCAGGCATCCCCTCCTCCTTCCTTTCTTTCTTTTCAACCCAAGGGCCCAGATCAGAGGCTGAGTAGGGCAGACCCTTGTCTCTCAGATTCTCTCTCAGTCACCGCCCATCCTTCCACAGTCCAGCAGCCATTTCTCAAGGGGGTTGTGGTGCTGGTGTAAACAGGAAACAAGAGCATTGCTTTAAAAGGAAAAAAAAAGTTATCTCTAAGGCCTCCTTCCTTCTGGTTCACTAAGACTCTATAGGGAAAGGCAGAAGCACTTCAGGTGAGGGACACATGGAGAGTCTTGGGTACCAAGGGCTCAGACCTGTCAACATTCTTAGAGAAACTCATGCCTGAAAGGCTTCCCCTAACAGCCTACCAGGGTTCCTCAACCTCCTACAGCTGCCCAGACACCAATGAACTAGGGCTCAAAACAGCACAGAAGGCTTCCTTCAACACAAGCAAGAGAAGGCAGCGAGGCAGGGCCAGAAGGAGCTGTAATGGTGGGGAGAGGGGAGGTCCCTGTGGTCAAGGTCTGGCTTCCTGGCCTGAGAAGGGACCTGGCTTGGTCCGGAACAGCATCCGTAGGACTCATTTTCACTGTTATAATCTACTTAGAAAACCCTAGAGAGAACCCAAGCAGTTTAGAGAATACTTAGCTGCATTAAAACTTGTAAGTTTCATTTAATGAGTGACTTCACAACTTACACAAACTATTTTTTGTACTGCTTTAGATGCAAATTACAAACCTT